TGTGTCTGTGTGTGTTTGTGTGTTTTTTTGTGTGTGTGTGTGTGTGTGTGTGTGTGTGTGTGTGTGTGTGTGTGTGTGTGTGTGTGCATTCTCTTTTGAGCTATTTAAAATGAATTTTTATATGTATTTTGAAATGCCCAATAAAGAACAATGAGTTCTACTAGAGATGCATTTGGAAGTGGTGAAACTTCTAATAACTCAAACATAGAAAAAAAATAAACCATTATGGAATCATGTTACTAAGCTAGCAAAATCTTCTGAAAGTGGAGAAAATATTACATTTAAATACAACTATTGTAATATGTTAAATGATCATATTCAAGAGTTCAAGCTCGCTTACTTAAGATTTTGGGTAATGGAATTAAATTTTGCCCCAAAGTTAATTTCTCATTAATATTTGAAATGCAAAGATTAATCGACGAATCTGAATAAAGGATTAAAATGATTATTCCAAAAGAGATACCACTATTAAGTTCTCATTGGTCATGTTATTCTACTTCTTCAATTCAAATTCATTATGGCAATGCCAATGCCGAATCGCTTAAAATAAAAGGGTATGAGGCTAAAAAAAAAAATTGTTGGAGATAGTAGTTTATAAAAGACATTTAATATACATATGTGAGAACAACTAGATAGCGAAATTGCAAGCATGTTTTTTTTTTTACCAGATATCCCTTTTAACCTTGATTGAAATCCATATTATAAGAACATTTGTACTTTTGCATGTAATAATAACCTTGCAGGTTATATTCCACTGGGGTACAATGTTATCAGATAAAAGTTTTTTTACAGAGAGAGATTTAATATTTATAAATTACTTGAACCAACAAAAGGTACGTGAAAAGAGAAAGGATTTAGTTTAGTATTTAATGGTTGGATTGTTCCACAAAGAAGACCACTTATCAATTTTATGGCAGCATCAAAAAGTTCTCTAATGTTTATCAAAATTGTAAATTGTGAGAGGCAGTATAAAGATAAATTCTTCATTTTCAATTTGATTATAGAAGTTATGGTGATTGTTGCTCTTTCAAAATATTATTCAAGTAATTACTGATCGTGCTCTAATTTGTAAGGCAGTTGGTTTTCTTGTGGGCAAATATGTCATCATACCTTTTGAACAAGTTGCATTGTGCATAACCTTAATCTTGTCTTAAAGAATATATGTGGTGCAAAAAATAGTGAAGCAAACAAGATTACATACACTGAATGTCATTGGATAACAGTGGTTGCTAGATATACTATTTTGGTAAAAAATTTAATCATGAATCATTCCATGAGGTTTGTTATTTTCAATGATTTCTCCAATCTAAAAATGTTTGTTGTTGTTGAAACTAAATTCTCTTCAATTATTGTGATATTAAGAAGATTCAAACAAATTAAAAATGCACTTCAAGCAATTGCTATTAGTGAAAGATGATTATGTTATCGTGAGGATGATGTGGGAGATGAAAGATATGTGAAGGAGAAAATACTTGATGATTTTTAGTGAGATAAAGTTGAATATATTCTATCTTTTACTGCTTCTATTTGTCACATGTTTCTAGTTGCGGATACAAATAAGCCATGCTTGCACTTAATTTATGAGAAGTTGGATAGAATGTTATGTAAAGTGAAAGAAGAAATATATATAAATATGAAAGAAAGGCAAATGATGAAAACTCAAATTTTCTTGAGTGTTGTAAGTATAATTTTGGAAAATAGGTAGAACAAAAGTAGCATACCCCTGCATTGGTTAGCTCTTTATTTAAATCCAAGGTAAATTTTATGTTTTTATTTTCTTTTTTACTTCTATTTCATTAAGTTAGAATCACATAAATCTATTTTTTAATTTTATTTTTCACATTCCTGAAAGATATTCAGCCAAGGAATTACTCGAGTAGAGTCCTCAACGAGCTTCCCCTCAAAGAGAAGTTGGGAATTACAAATATGAGAAAATTTTGTTTAAGGCTGGTCAACACTATTTTTTTGGTTTGTGGAGTTGCCCGTTGGAAGATGTCGGCCGCCGGAATCAAAATCTCGTCGCCCATTTTAGAAGGACATTTAATTTACATAAATATATAGTTTAGAAAAATATCAAATCAAACTATATATATATATAAGTTTAGAAAAATATCAAATCAAACAGACTCAATATTTTTTATAGTTTAACTGAAAGAGCATTATACCTCAAACAATCCCATATCTATCCCGAAGGATAAACATAAGACTTGAGGATGAGGCTCGATCAAATAAATTAAGAAATATACGACATCCGTTTGGTCTTCGAAACCATATTTATTTGCCAAAAAGTTCCTCTATTTTATATTAAGAAATAAATAGGGTTTGTATTAAGTTGGGTTCAGAAAAGCTTCCTATAAGGGCAAGCCCCTACAGTTAATTACATCTTAGATAACCGAGTTAGACAACCAAAGTCACCTAAGAAAACTCTCAATAAAAATCAGGAAATAGTATCTTCAAAGATGTAAAAGGATATGATTTTTCAACGAGATCGGACATAGAGGTGTGAAAGGGGAATGGCTCAAATTTAGAATATTTATTGCAGAATTCAAAGGAGGAAGAACTAGAGGCTGTCATAGATCCGTGGGAGAACCTCAGTGACTTCCCAAACTATCTTATTATTTTGCTTCAATTTTGAGGAGAAATTATTTAAATGTTTCATCTTGCCAATTTTTTTGTTTAGGGCTTACATTCGCGTAAAACGATCACACAAATGCTTAGAAGATGTGAGGATTTAGGTCGTGACGAATGACAACCTCAAAATCCTAAGACGAGTTAGGGCTTAAATTGTACAGCATGTTTATACAAAGGCCTAAAAATAAGGTGAGGATTTATGTTGCATAAACAAACAACTTCGAAATCATATGGTTTGGTTGTTTAATTCTAAGGAAAGGTATGTTGCTGTAGATCCTCCTACTGTTGGAGATGGTGGTGCTGCCCACAACGCTAGCTATGAGATTCTCGTCGTGACGAGTTTAAGTTTTCTAATGTGTCTGGTTATAATGTCAAATCAGATGTCCCTATGGTTATGATTTTTTAAATATTATAATGCATATTAAAGTTAATTAAAGCGACAGCGATTAGGATCCTACGGTTCCCTCGTTCCGGTACCACTATTTTCTGTCGGATTCACTTAATCCAAATGAATTTATTAAACTCAACTTAATGAGTTCCATACTTTCATTTAGACCGTGGGAAGCCTCATTAACAACTGTAGGTTACCTCCTCTGAGGGATTCCCGATCATCTGATAGAGATGTCTTAATTTAGTTGCAATTGTTGTTTTGTGATATTTGTGATTAAATTTTGAGTTGTTTTATATTTTCAATGTTGTGGTAGTGAATTTTATCTTGCTTGATTTTAGTTTTGGTTTTGGTTTTGCGGCTATCCTAGTAGCTTTGGTTTTCATGCAGGTTGACATCGTTGTTTAACATGCAAGTTTTATAAGCATAAAAATACAGTGCGAAAAGTACAAGAAAAGACGGTACTGTAAACTGTAAAAGCGCACCTGACGAGTCTTCTCGTTCCTCCACCTGAAAAGACAGTACTTGCAAGACATGTATGTAATATTGAAAGGAACTTAAATTGCAAGAGTAGATGAAGGTTTAGCTACTAAACCCCAGGCTATGATTTTGTTGGATCTTTGGAAGATCCTAGTAGATGATTTTAGAACAAAATATGACAAGTCCAATTTGTCCTTCAGAATATCCAATAGATTTCAAAATGCTCGATGCATGACCTTAGATCATTTTGAAGATCTCTTGAAATATTCCGAGTTCATTTTGGACTTATCATATTGTTTCATTAATCATCCAAGGCTGGAGTGTGCTACCCCGTTGCTCAGTGAAACTTAGTAATTTAATTATCCCGGGGATAGGATATTCGATTAGTCAATTGATGTTTTATTTAAATGTTATGTGAGTGGGTGCTCACAATTAATGTCAGGCTTGTAGTATTTAATGATGTTAATCACCAATTATGTTATCTTTTAAATCCAATCAATTGAGTTTAGACATTGAACCTAGGTCACTACTAAGTTTTTAACAATCATGATAGGTGAAATGGTGATTATCAAGATTTTGATTTCAAGTGCTATGTATTCTTATCAAATAGTCAAAACATTCTCAACTTTGGGCTTAAGGCAAGTAAATTATCATCTTCCTAGCTTAAGCCAATCACTTTAGAATCATTTTATCTTATTAACTTCCAAGTCATGAAGGTTAGGAGGATTATGGTTTCGTTGATGTTGTGCAAGGGTGGTGAATGAGTTTCTACCTTTTAACCTCATTGTATTTCAATCATCCAAACATATTTATTTAGATCAAAATTACTCATTTCCCCTTAGTTAATCCTAATTTTTTATTAAGTCACTAAAGTCTGAAATGAC